CACACATTTCTTTTTTTGTATTAAATTCACAACCTTATAAGGAAGTGTTCGTAGAAGGTTGTTAGTCTTCACAATATAATTATTTCATGGTAGGGCAAAGCATTTAGGATATAACTTTTCACACACTTAGAATAGTAAAACTTACACTAAGCCTTGAATAAAGTATATTTGGAAACTAAATTATAAATTAACTTTGATGTTATGAATACAAAATTTTTGAATTCATTCGTGGTTACTTCCTGCAGATAATGCCCGTTGATGTCTACTGATATTCGCATTCTGTTCATTCCACAATAGACCGTGCCTTGGTTCAAATAGAGTCAAGATGATTTAGGACGTCAATTTTGTAGCCGATTAGATCTCCTTTTAGAATAACCATAAAGCTCCCGCAAATAGCTCTGATGGCATATTAAAAACACTGCAATCTGTACATAAAATAATTTGATTACTTATGTGTTTGCTACGACTGTCAAGGAAACCTCGAAAGACAGACTGAGGAAAAAATATTATTAACAACAGTTCTAAAATAGGACTCAGCTTGGAGTGATGGAGGCCATCATATCCATGCATGGAACAGCTCAACAGAATTCTATTATGTGTTTGTTACAATCCTTAGCATTTATGCCCCAGATCGTTCAGCCATATTTATGACTGGCTATTTATTAGGTTTGTTATGAAGGTCTTCTTCAAGCTGTTTAACTTCGTCCAAAATATGTTGGTGTTCTTCAAGAAGTTCGATATACTCTTTCATCTTTTTCTCTCCTATTTCCTCCAATTCCTGAGAAAAAGCAAAAGAAATGTTTACATGACAAAAATCCCCATGTCGCAGTCTAAAAAATTGTCAGTAACAAATTCGGATTTCAACTTTTCTATAGGTTGGCAAGTCGTGTGTGCATTAACTAACACATATGAAATAATAATTCAATTCCTTTAATTTGTTCGCTCTACTTAAAAAACTGACGTCAGTTTTTCATGCTTCTGTCCTGTTATTGGTCATGAATTTCGTCATAACATCGTCAGAGTAGCTGTGGGAAATTCATCGTCAATAGCAAGGACAAACACATGAAAAACTGACGGCGATTTGTTTTTTTTACAAAAACAAGAAGGCAGAAAGGACAAATTAAGTCGCATAAATTATAAATTCATGTGTCTATCTGCGTATTGACAATAAAAATAAGCCAATGATCACACGAGAATTTCTGCAGTTATTGTAAAAAGTACATTAAATAACTTATAACACACCTCAATGTGCTTTGCAGCCTGTTGTTCACTCTCAATGTCTATGTAAAGCAAAGATCACAACAAAAATTTTTAATCAGAAAGCAATTTTGCTCAGAGAAGTCACTGGTTAGTAAATTATTATGAACGTTTTCAGTTCTATTTACGAAATTTTTTCCGGATTTATAGCGTCCCCAATTCGCACAGCAGTGCTGAATACCATGGCGCTTTTTTGAAACAGCAAACGAAGTACTGGTATAGAATGATGATGATTCGCATTTGCCTTGGTTTTGCATTTCTGCGCTCAGCGATTGGCCTCAGAAACTAGCGCAACTCTGTCATCCAATCAGATGTAAAACCAGGACTCAGTCGCACACGTTTTCCCGCGCTCCGAGTCAGTGACGTATGTTTACTTCGAGTTTTGATTGGTTAATTGGATTGAATGTGTCTTTTGTGATAAGCTACAGTGATAACTTTGGTTTTGGTTTTACGACACTACATTGAAAGCCGTTCTATAAGCAATGATAAAAGAAATAACCCAAATTAAAAACTATTATATACCTACCTCTTTTCGAATAATCATAAATCTCCACACCACCTTGAACGCCTCCGACTGTAGTCAAACTCAACCGAATTCCTCTTGTTACAATTACTTCCATAACATTTTCAGTATTGTTATTTTCCTTCTGATCCACAGGATTCTCTTCTCCTTCTGCTTCGTGTTTATTATCCGGAGAACTGCCAGTAACACCCCTAGAAGGGGAGTCTGTTTCGGAGTCAACGCTTTCTATATCTAGTTTACCACACAAATCAATCTTGTCGTCAACCAGTGCTGGCGTCTGGCTGGGCGTGGTCCCTTTATAAGGACCAGGGGAGACAAATGGTGCAGGTATGGAATTTTCCGTTGGACCATCTGCAGCAACATTTGTTGTGGTGTGAAGTAGAGTGATTGCACCTCCATTCAGCGGACCATTCTTTGTTCCTGGACGACTTAGCTCTGGAATGTTCATCGGATTAAAGTTTATAACAGCTGGTATAGCTGTCTTATTGGATGTGTGGGAATGCCGCATAACTGCTTTAGAGTTTCTATTGCTGTAGATGTATGGCACATGGTAAGCTGGGTTTTGCTGTTTAGCGGGTGTTGTCAGACCAATGTCTGATCTGATGTATGGAAGTGGAATCAATATTGGTCTAGAGTTATTCCTAGGCAGGAATGAAAAAAAGGACAAATGAGTAAAATGGGAGCCTCCTATAAATGCTTTAAATTATCATTACGCCTCTGTACAAATTTCACCATGCCCCACCCCCCACCCCCAAGATGAGAAAGTTGGAGTTATCTCAGTAGATAATACATTGCATGCAGACTGTTCCATGTTGAAAGACTAACTATAAACTTCAGTCATCGATTTTTAAGAAACAAAACATTTTCTGTGTTTACAACTATGGTGTTTAGTATATATCTACTAGCATTCTATCATGTAAGCCATTCTCGCATTGGCTACGCTACTTACTATGAGTCTATCTGTTCTGTTGTAGATAGTGAGTAGCCCAGCAGTGTGTGGTTGTTAACAAAAAGACTGCCACTTCTTCACATTTTTGAAGTGTCAGTGAATAGGATTTAGATACAGTTTTGAGCGACTTGTTGATTTAAATTAAAACAATTCTGGATTATGTGCTCTTGATTTCTATGCATGATAAACATCTCGAGCTCTTAATTTAGTTGTTGAATAGAAGTATGGCTTTTGGCAGGCACTTTCCTGAGGTCGTTTTCTAATAAAAAATGGAAAACAATAGAAGTCGGCTTAATTGATACAAGAATTGAAACAACAACAACATAATGCAGACAAAGCAGATTAGTCAACAACTGGCCAATAAATGTTAGCACTGACACTTACTCGATTTGCTTCGCCTCTGAATCAGATAGGAAAGGGGATCCATTGTCCTCATTCTTTGTCTTCTGGACATCATTTGTTTCATCTGTTTCTGCCTTGACAGGACTTTGTTCTTTAGTAGGCTTCTTGACATGGTAATGTTGATTAATCTTTGGAGTTCTTTGAAAAACAATGACTTGCAATTAACATTTGCAAAATAAAATTTTGTACATCAAAATTGTGCAAGATCATTTCACTATGTAGACCACTAAGTCAGGGAAGAAGCTAAGAGCCAGCTGATGGCTAACTTCACAAGCTGAAAGACAGTGTACTGCCAGCTGAATTTTGGGTAATTCAGAAGGTACACAGACCTGTACATTTTCAGTACTATAAGAAACCAGCAAAACACTGTTCATTTACCTCAGAGGCACCGGTGCAGAAGTGTTGATATATTGAAATGGTCCCCGTTTTGCCTCTCTTCGGCTTGGATACAGCAAACTGTATAGTGACTCCAATTTCCCCTATATGTATATAACAAAAACAAATTTCAACTTTGGTGAGCCATTCTAACAGAACATCACATGAACATAATATTATATACAAGGAGTAGAACATAAAAAGCACACAATACAAGTTCATCAAAATATATAAAAAGTTCTCAAAGCTAAAGGGCTTAAGGTGGCCGAACACAGTTTTCCGGTGCGCTTTTGCTGATGCAATTCAGCATGCGCACAAGGACTGAAAAAAACAAACATGCCGTCAATAGAGCGATCATTTTGTTTACTCAACACCCGCAGTATCTGTGCTATTTTTCTCTATAATTTAACGCAGTATATTGATG